TTTTTTTTTTCTCCCAGTTAAGGAAGCACGCGATAGCTCCTACAGCTTACCGGGGAGATCGAGATCTCGTGCTGAGTTTTTGTTTTAGGGGTAAGTTTGCGAGCTCTGGAGAATTCGCAAGCTTCTCCCAAAAACTGGCTGTCCAAGTTTCTAACATCCAATACGCCTCTGAAGCATCCGTTGATCCACACCCAGAAATGATAATCTTTACTCGAAGCGAAGTTCCCACTCGCCAGCTCCTTGTATGTATACTTTTAAGCCAAGCCTTGCAATGCCTGTCAAGAGCACGACCAAGCCAACCGAATGCTCTGCGACCACCCTGACGAGAGTGGAGAGATCTGACCCTGTCCAGACACCGGAGGTTCGGCGGCGTTGAACTCCCGCAGGCCACCCGCGGATATGACTTGCAGTCAATCCCAACGATTAGCCTGTCCATTTCCTGTAAAAATAGTCACGGATTTAAATCGGCACTTGAAATAAGGCATCGCCCTTACTTCGTTGATATCTTGAGCCTTCGGCTATTGTATCCAGGCCTTGATCCTAGACAATAGTAAAGGGCTGTAAGTATCTTCTATTCCAAAGACAGCTGTTTAGTTTTAGCCCGGATGCTTGGAATCGTTGCTTTCAAATACAATAGATAAAGACTGCTTCATGAAAGCAAGTTGTATGCCTTAGAAAAGCAAAAGCTATACACATTCCAGATACCAAAAGCAGATACTCTACATAGAGTGGATTGCCACTTTTTAGTTTAATCAGTTTCCCTTTTTCTTGAGCTCTATCTATATGTTGAGATCTTTCAGTTGTGGCATTCAACAAAGAATACATATTAATTATATAAACATGCATGATTTAACCTGGTACAGTTACCTCTTCTTGTCTTTCCACGTAGCGCATGCGAACGTACACACCGAAAGTTACTGTGGCAAACACAAAGATTGCAAACGAGCACGCTGCAAAGAAGATGATCCAAGATGGAGTGACTTGAACTGTTGAAGTTGTGTCACCAAGAACGAGATCGCTTAGCTGCTGGAGTAGTGTCTTTGAGGTGGCAACCCGGTGGCAACAGTTGCAGCAGCACATCGGAGCTTCTACGTGCTGTGCCGATTGTCCATTTTTCCCTCCCAAGAACCAAACCCGATTTTGGCGCCAAAAAGAAAAGGCCATGTGTTCTAGGTCTAGGTTGCGGCTCAGCGGCGGGGCGATTCCAAGCAAGTCTCTCGCCAGTGGAATCAACAGGTGCGTGGCGATTCCAAGCAAGTCTCTCGCCAATGGAATCAACAGGTGCGTGATGTAACGGATGTGAGGCGATTCGACAATCTTTTAGCCGAGGATCGAGCAGTCGGTCAGGTCACGTCGGCGCAGGTGAATTTCATGACTGTCGTGGTGAACGAGCTGGAGCGCTCGATGAGCTTGCAAGAAGAGGGCTTTAGAGCAGGGATTAAGCTTCTTTGCGTGGTGAGAGCACTTCTCCAGAAGATCAGGAGAAGAGTCATGGTTGGTGATAGTGTTTTAGTCTCGGGAATAGATTAGACAGACAAACGCGGGATGATTGAAGGTGTTCTACAGAGACGATGGGACACTTCGAATCCACCAGTGGCTAATGTTGATTTGCTACTGGTGCTGGATAGGCCGCGCTTGGATCCTGTGATAATGAATAGGTTCTTAGTCGAAGGTGAGTCTACTGGAATACCTCTAGCAGTGGTGCTCAACAAGGCGGATCTTGTTACTCAGGAGGTACCCGTTTTATTTCTTTTGCAAAGCTGATAGAAGGATCATTTTTAGTTTTCAGATGAAAGATAGCTGGGAGAAGCAGCTGTCGGGATATAAACCATACATATGCAGTGTAGAGACTGGTATGGGGTTTCATGAAGACATCAGTCTTTTTTGGCCCAAGTGGAGTCGGAAAATCGAGCTTGATCAACTTTCTACGTGGAAAATCTTGCCTTCCACCAGATGACATCCAGGTCTGTAGACCTTCAATGTTCGTCTGAAACTAACTTCAATTGTCGCGTGTACAGGCACTAGACGAAGTCGACGATGAAGTCATTCGCGTAAGTGAGGTGTCGTCAGAAGAAAACATTGAGAAGCATAGCATAGAAGCTATGGCAATGCCACGGCCTACCTGTACGAGGAAGAAAAAAGGCGCGGCGAATGCAATCAAGCACGAGAGCTGACAACAGACGCTCTTGCATCTGCCATTTAGAGGGGCTATGCTCGCTGATACTCCAGGTTTCAGCCATCCCAGCTTGTCAATGGTGACAAGGAACTCATTAGCATTGCTTTTCCCCGAGGTATTTTTTGTCAGCTTCTTCTTATCGCGATTGTGACCATAGCTGGATCAGCTGGTCTCAGCTTTTACTACTCAGCTAGACATGTAAAGGTGACTTACACTTTTTCTTTTCGTACCTTATATGATAACGTAAAAGCTTTCCAAGCGCTTTTACCATCGACATCAAACAGCCACGCATCAATGCCGGGCCTGGCACAGAAAGTCTGGGCTTGCTGGAGTGCCAAGCTCGTTGCAGCTTGGACGTCGGCTTGGTACTGTGGCCCGGTGGTGTAGCTCCGGACGTAGGGAACACACTCAGCAGGGACTCTCCAGCTCAAGAGGTTTCCAGACGCAACGCTAAACTGGAAGCTGCGGCAATAGGAATCCACGAACTGGGACCTTAGATCTCTCGGTGGGAGGGAAATGTCCTCGGGATTTAGCACACCAGCAGGCTCGATTGCAAAGGCAAGATCAAAAGATGAAAGAAGAAGAGCAAGGAAAAGACGAGCAAGATGAAGAAGAGAAACCATTGTGACTATGAAAGTTTCTTGAGATGGAGCACTAGAATTTATATTTTTTAGCTAGTTTTTAATAAATATGGTCAGGAAAACCGTTGTTATTGATCTTCTTAATCAATATAAAGGTCATACAATAAACTTCTCTTCCAAATCCAACCAATATCCTAATCTGTTTGAGCAGAGACAAGGCATAATTAAACTGATGTTGAATCCAAAGGAGAAGTTCACTGGAGCATTTGTGATTGGCACCGCATTTGCAACTTTCGTGGCGACACTTGTGGTGACTGCTATCTTCACGGTTCCAAAAATGATCAAGCCACCTCCAGGGGATTACTACCCGGATATCATCAAGTGCTCTACGTGCTGGGAAGCCACTGTCTTTGCCACAAACTCTGATCCATTCTACCAGTGGGTCTCTGATTCCTCACCTGACGTCTCTCAGAGGGGAACATTTGCATACCAGAGGGCCAGCATCTGGCGTGTTTCGGGCAATGTCACCTCTACAAATGAGAGCTCCATGTATAGCTCGCCAGATCCCCACATTCTTGGAGGAGAGCTTGTCAAGAGAAGCAGGACTCTGGTATGGAAGATGACAGTCTACTGGGGGATGAGTGTAAGAACTTGTTTCACCTTGCCAGGATCCAAGGATGATTCGTGTCTCTACACAACCCCGATCGTCCAGACCGCTCCTGAATCATATGCAGCGCTCTTGGTTGGCGTTCCGTATCGGAAGGTTTCACAGGAACCATATGCCGTGGAGAGCAGCGCTTTGTATCTGGACAATGATGCGGTGTATTTGACAAACTTTGTGAGCAACGCTAGAACCAGTGCTGGATTGAAGCTCAAAAGCTCTGGCAAAAGAATCAAGAACTACGTCTATGAAGGCCAGGTTTGCAACAGGGCCTCCCCGATCCTCGTCACCCCGGACGTGGTTTCTTACATGGGTTTTCCAAGCTTACAGTGCGCTTGCGATGGTATCCTTTGCCTTGTGGGTCTGAACATCACTGGCTCAGCTTCGGATGAGGATGAGATTCTTCCTCTGAAACTAAATGCCTCCGGGTGTGGCCAGGGCAATTCGTTTTGGGAATCCTTTGAAAGAGAATAGAACCATCTTCTACTCTTACAACCCGAGTCGGGAGACATCGATACTACGGTGAATTTCAGCACAACATTCGATGTGGTAATCTTTGGTGCCAAACAGCGACTCAAATAATTCGTTTCTTGCACCGACGACACGATCCAGAAGAAGGATCCGAGCGATGACACACTAGTGTCAGATTTGCAGGAGTGCTTGAAAAGTCCAATTGTTGCCGTGAGCGGTAACTTTAGCATAACCGGATCTGGGGATTGGTTCATGGACACCTTCAATAACAAGGTTCCAAACGACAAGGACGACCACTTCTTGTGTGGCATGGACGAAGGCCAGTCAAAGCTGGCGGACAAGCTGTGCACGGTAAGCTTGGAGAATCTACAATTGCAAGTTCTGGAGAAGCGCTTGAGGGAGTCTCTAACGGACGTGCAAACGTTCATGAAGAAGGAATGGGAGAGCACTTGGTCGCAGAGATCAGACATAAGTGTTGGGATTGTCACAGCAGTGATGACCATCCTTGTGACCATCTGGGGGATGTTCAACAGGGATTTGCAAGAGGTGGAGGCGTTGATCTTGAAGCGCGCAGGCAAATTCACCAGGGTTGTGGAAGCAACAATAGGACTTCCACTGTTTAAGACGGGAATTCGGGGTTTTCTGCTCTTGGGTGTGATCGTGTGGAACATGTTTAACGTGTTTGTCAGCTTGAATGCTGTGGGAAGTGAACCCCGGCTTGCCACCTCAAAAACGCTACTCCAACAGCTCGACGGGATCTCGTTCTTGGTAACTACAACTTCAACAGTTCAAGTCACTCCATCTTGGCTTATCTTCTTTGCAGCGTGCTCGTTTGCAATCTTTGTGTTTGCCACAGTAACTTGCGGTGTGTATGTTCGCATGCGCTACGTGGAAAGAAAAGAAGAGCAAGCTTAAATCATGCATGTTTATATAATTAAAATGTATTCTTTGATGAGTGGTACAAAATTTGGATATAGATAGAGCTCAATAAAAAGAGAAACTGATTAAAACGAAAGTAACTAAAAAGTGGCAACCCACTCAATCTCATGCTATGTAGAGTATCTCTCATGTGTTACATGCTTTTGGTATCTGGAATGTGTATAGCTTTTGCTTTTCTAAGGCATACAGCTAAGCAGTCTTTATCTATTGTATTTGAAAGCAACGATTCCAAGGCATAATGTGTGTGGTTTCCGAATTATATCCAGGGATGATTGCGTCTTTCAACGCAGCAATAGCACATTACTTCAGTATCGTGAGCTATGATCAATTTTGTTTATCCAAGAGGGCAAAAGAGAATAAGTCTTTTATAAAACTAGTAGTGTAGAATGCCGTTCTAATGAGTGCTCTCAAGAGAGCAGCCAACCACGCCATTGAAGACTTCGCAACCGTGATTCGCCACTGTGCCAAATCCAAGGACTTGGCAAAGGGTCGCTGGATACACAGCCAGATCATTTCAGATCAAAAGGAATACAGAGAGAACGTCTTCCTGGCCAATTTGCTCGTGGCAAATGCGGTAGCCCAAATGATGCCAAGCGAGTGTTTGACACCATCGACGCCAAGAACGTTTTCTCGTGGGCTGTTATGATGACTGCATATACCCAAAACGGGTATCTGCAAGATGCTAAGGTTATATTTGACGAGATGCCCGATCGGGATACTGTTGCATGGAATACAATTCTTGGAGCGTACGCACAACACGGGCATGTAGACGAGGCAAAGATTCTTTTTGATTCGATTCCAAATCCCAACTTTGTGTCGCGGACAACAATGCTCACAGCATATGCTCAAAGCGGGAATATGTCTAGCGCGAAGCATATGTTTGATTCTATGTCACCTCGCAATGCAATTGCATGGACATCAATGCTTGCTGGATATGCAAGACTCGGAGGTATCTTAGCCTCTCGAGGATTCTTTCGAAAGATGCCCCAGCATGACACTATATCAGCGACTGCAATGATTTCGGCATTTGCCGCGAGGGGCAATGCAAGAGAGGCGTGTGCCTTGTTCGAGAATATGCCGGAGAGGAACGTCTTCTCATGGACGGCATTGCTCCAGGGATATGCCGAGAATCGTCTTCTAGACAAGGCAAAGAGCTACTTTGACAAGATGCCAGCATGGAATCTTGTGTCGTGGACTGTGCTCGTCGTTTCATATGCTCAATGCGAGCGGCTTGAGATTGCACAAGACTTGTTTGTTGAGATGCCCGAGCGGAGCATAGTGACTTGGAATGCCTTGTTGGCAGCGATTGGGCATGCCAAGTCTTTGGAGGAGGTGAAGCTTTTCCTTGTCACTATGCCCGCATGGAACTTGGTGACCAAAAACACAATCTCTCAGATCAAGGAAGTCAAACAAAGTGAAACCACTAGTTGACTTGGCTAATGCTTCTGTCAAGCTTGCTGGAAGAGGAGGCGTCATCGTTGGTGGATCGAACCACAGCTATGCAACGCAGGATGCACAAGACTCTATTGCAGAAGGGAAAGACCATGGAAATGAAGAGCGAGAACAACTACAACTTCGATGTTATACCAGGATCTCTTCCCGCGGTCTAAGAACATTGACTTGTTTCTGGAGAACGAGCAACAGCTGCTTTGGTGGTGTTATTGCAATGATAAACTGCTAGAGACTTCTTGTACGCTGTGCACAGGCTGAGGCCGAACTATTTGCTGCTTCCTGCGAACGCTCCCAAGTGTGCTCATAACAACAACCATCACGAGGTAGTATGACAAGCAACGCTCTTGCTTTTACGTTCTATATTCTGTGTTTGCAGGTGAACTATTTCCCTTCCCATTTTGATCCTTGCCGTCACGCTGAGCGAGTGCCTATTCCTTCTCACCCTCTCGGTGGTCGACGAGAAGAGGTTTGGTTAGTCTACCTTTCAGCTTCTCATTTTACGCTTTGGCATTCTCTTGTAGGCGATGATTGAAAAGGAAAATAACTTTGCTCAGCCAGGAGCAACGTTCCGCTCCGGGCCTGGTGACAGGCAAGATCTCAAACCTCTCTCTCAGCTAATCATGTTTTAACTGAATCTCTGCTCCTCTTCCAGGCAAGAGCGTTTCATTGCGAGAGTTGTGGATGCTCTGTCCGACCCGCGCGTCACCCACGAAATCCGTAGCATCTGGCTCTCTTACTGGTCTCAGGTTAGACAATAAAGAAAATACAACATGTGATCAAACTCAACCATGAAAGTGTGCAGGCGGATCGTATGCTTGGTCAGAAGATTGCAACGAAATTCAACGTGAAAGCCAACATGTAAACGGATAAAACTATATCTGTGTCCATCGTGGTGATCGTGGTGAAAGAAAGAGGTACTAGTTTTAATTATTACTCTTGTTCTAACAATCCAAATCTGCATTATTATTGAGGTATGTTTCTTGCATTGTATTGCTTGAGTTTTATTTGTTACCCGAGAGATCAGGCACCTGAGACTGTGGAATGCTCTTGTCACCACCTGTGTCTTTCTTGTTGCTCGTTGCTCCCTTGGTGTCATACCCAGGCCAAACCCCTGGACAGTTTGTTTGCTTTCTTTTTTTCAACAAGGTTCTCGTCTTGAGTCTGGAAGAGTGGTCGTCTAGCAAGAGTAGCATTTGGTGTCATGACAGGCTAGCCAACGTTATCTAAAGCTCACAAACCTCATCAAGAGCCTCTTCCAGCCTCTGTAGCCCGCCCGGAGTAAGTTCCTCACAGTCGCACGCCGCAGTGACTATGGGCGTGTGGACACGAGGAACACTGTCCAGTTCGTTCTGAGAAGCGTCCTCACTGGAGCGATCGCCGGGCCGACGCCTCTGGCGGCCCACAAGTTAAAGTCAGTGTCGCGGTAGCTCCCAGCTCTGCAAAGTTTTAACTTTCAACAGGGAAGGAAGAGATAGATCCAGACGTTACCCGAACTGCTTTGTAGCAAAGTAAGGCGTGGTTGAGAGGAGAGTACCATGGACATCAAACAGCCACGCATCAATGCCGGCCTGGCGCAGAAAGTCTGGGCTTGCTGGAGTGCCAAGCTCGTTGCAGCTTGGACGTCGGTACTGTGGCCCGGTGGTGTAGCTCCGGACGTAGGGAACACACTCGGCAGGGACTCTCCAGCTCAAGAGGTTTCCAGACGCAACGCTAAACTGGAGGCTGTGACAGTAGGAATCCACGGACTGGGACCTTGGATCTCTCGGCGGGAGGGAAATGTGCTCGGGATGGAACGCTAGAATTTATATTTTTTAGCTAGCTTTAAATAAATATGGTGAGAAATACCTCATAGGGAGGCAACAGAGGGAGCACATTCGTGCACGTCCGCGACGACGACCAGAATTGATCCATTATATGTTTTATAGTAGTACCTTTATGTTCATTAATACAGTATTTGTACCAAGTTTTATATAAGATCACAGCTTGTATGATCAATACTTATTATTATTACAGGAGGGGAAAGATCATGTAGAATAGGCATAATTTTCCATCGTCGTTCCTTGTTGTTGTCAATCAATTCAATCAATCAATCAACGTTCATACAAAGAATTTTCACGTACTGCAACTATGCAAAGGGATTAATCACTTTATTCGCCACTTACTTACAAAAAAGTTAGTAACCTTTCTATATAACTTCTATTCCAGCGGGTATCCACCGCATAATCTATTTGAGCAAAGAACATTAGAGCTATGGCGGAGTCACAAGGCGTACCTAAACTGATGTTGAATCCAAGGGAAAAACTCACTGGAGCGCTCTTGATTGGCACCGCATTTGCAACTTTCGTCGCGACACTTCTGCTCACTGCCATCTTCGCGTGCAGATGGGACCACATCTGCATTCGGGGTTTTCTGCTCTTGGGTGTGATCGTGTGGAACATGTTTAACGTGTTTGTCAGCTTGAATGCTGTGGGAAGTGAGCCCCGGCTTGCCACCTCAAAGACACTACTCCAGCAGCTCGACGGGATCTCGTTCTTGGTGACTACAACTTCAACAGTTCAAGTCACTCCATCTTGGATTATCTTCTTTGCAGCGTGCTCGTTTGCAATCTTTGTGCTTGCCACAGTACCTTTCGGTGTGTACGTTCGCATGCGCTACGTGGAAAGAAAAGAAGAGGTAACTGTACCAGCTTAAATATATAATTAATATGTATTCTTTGATGAGTGCCACAAAATTTGGATATAGATAGAGCTCAAGAAAAAGAGAAACTGATTAAAATGAAAGTAAGTAAAAAGTGTCAACCCACTCAATTTCATGCTGTGTAGAGTATCTCTCATGTGTTACATACTTTTGGTATCTGGAATGTGTATAGTTTTTGCTTTTCTAAGGCATACAGCTTGCTTTCATTAAGCAGTCTTTATCTATTGTATTTGAAAGCAACGGTTCCAAGCATCCGGGCTACTGTCTTTGGAATAGAAGTTACTTACAGCCAGCTCTCGTGCTTGATTGCATTCGCCGCGCCTTTTTTCTTCCTCGTACAAGTAGGCCGTGGCATTGCCATAGCTTCTATGCTATGCTGCTCAATGTTCTCTTCTAACCATATATGATAACTCTTGTTGCATGAATGTGGATTTAAGAGAATTTCTAAGCCCACCACGGGGTGTTTTTGAAGATTCCCGACCATGGCATGGAGCACACTGGTGGAGTGAAGTTTTGTCTCCTCCTGGTGCCTGAGGCGCATCGAATAACAATAATTTACTATCATAGCGCAGGTGTTCAGTCGTAGCGTGAATCGCCAGAAAATCTCATGACCCTCAACAGCAGAGCTCAAGAGAAATAGAAACTGACTAGATATACTCCTACGAATTTTGCGGCATCCAGCGGCTTGAGACTATGAGCACAAAAAGACCAGCCCCACATAATGTGTGTGGTTTACGAATTATATCCAGGGATGATTGCGTCTTTCAACGCAGCAATAGCACATTACTTCAGTATCGTGATCTATGATCAATTTTTTATCCAAGAGGGCAAAAGAGAATAAGTCTTTTATAAAACTAGTAGTGTAGAATGCCGTTCTAATGAGTGCTCTCAAGAGAACAGCCAGCCACGCCATTGAAGACTTCGCAACCGTGATTCGCCACTGTGCCAAATCCAAGGACTTGGCAAAGGGTCGCTGGATACACAGCCAGATCATTTCAGATCAAAAGGAATACAGAGAGAACATTTTCCTGGCAAATCTAAAAATGCGGAATGCAATTGCATGGACATCAATGCTTGCTGGATATGCAAAAATCGGAGGTATCTTAGCCTCTCGAGGATTCTTTCGAAAGATGCCCCAGCATGACACTATATCAGCTACTGCAATGGTTTCGGCATTTGCCGCGAGGGGCAATGCGCCTTGTTCGAGAATATGCCGGAGAGGAACGTCTTCTCATGGACGGCATTGCTCCAGGGATATGCCGAGAATCGTCTTCTAGACAAGGCAAAGAGCTACTTTGACAAGATGCCAGCATGGACTGTGCTCGTCGTTTCATATGCTCAATCCGAGTGGCTTGAGATTGCACAAGACTTGTTTGTGGAGATGCCCGAGCGGAGCATAGTGACTTGGAATGCCTTGTCGGCAGTGATTGGGCATGCCAAGTCTTTGGAGGAGGTGAAGCTTTTCCTTGTCACTATGCCCGCATGGAACTTGGTGACCAAAAACACAATCTCTATGATTAAGAAAGTTAAACAAAGTGAATCCACTAGTTGACTTGGCTAATGCTTCTGTCATGAGCTTGCTGGAAGTCATCGTTGGTGGATCGAACCACAGCTATGCAAGACTCTATTGCAGAAGGGAAAGACCATGGAAATGAAGAGCGAGAACAACTACAACTTCAATGTTATACCAGGATCTCTTCCCGCGGTCTAAGAACATTGACTTGTTTCCGGAGAACGAGCAACCGCTGCTTTGGTGGTGTTATTGCAAGATGAACTGCTTCAGACTTCTTGTACGCTGTGCACAGGCTGAGGCCGAACTATTTGCTGCTTCCTGCGAACGCTCTCAAATTTGCACGACAATCTCCTTGAAATTCAGGTCAATTCTCTCTAATCTCAACAACCAACTCGAGTCACTTATACAGATGATAGAAAGCCTCAAGATGATCACTCTCTCGTATCTACTGTCAAAGAAATCCCAGCTTGGGACACACAGGGAATTCTAACTCCTAAGGAGCACCAGCCTGCCTCACGAATTCTCAAAAACTAGCTTATATACTACCTACGCTGTCATTCCGTGATCCTCTTGGGTCACAACTGCAGACGCCCGATAGCAAATTCCTCCAGGCATCATTAGAAAATCCTCTGCGCCACCTTGCCACCTGACCTTGGGCGGCACAAGCTTTAAGAGCAGACGCATAGGTTTGTAAAGAAGGGAGAGCACTTCGGCAGAGAGATCAAGGATTACTATTAGGATTGTCATGAGGGAGTTGCAAGCAGTTTGATCGTGAAAGGTCACCAAAGTTGTGGGACTTCCATTGTTTAAGATGGGAGTGTTTGTGCTCGTGGGTGTGACGTGTTCATAAAGCTTGTGAGCCTCGCCTTGCCACTTCAGAAACACTTCTCCAGCAGCTCAATGGGATCTCGTTTCTAGCGACTACAACCTCAACATTGCAATCTAATTTGAATTTTTCAGTTACTTTTGGTGTGTACATTCGCATGAAATAACTGAAGAACTGTGCTTCCAAGCGAAATTCAAGGTTAAAATGAGAGGGGTACACTGCAGCACGAAAAGCAAAGATCCAAATGCTACACAACTGTGCCAAATCCTTTTTTCCTTTTTTAAAGTATCAACTTTAAACTTTATTCTTCTTTCTTTTCATATTCACTTTAGTCAGGCTTTCTTTTCATAAAGCAAAATTCACATTCGGTTTTGAAGACACCCCCTTATTGATAGTCTTATATTTCACCTCTGAAATTAAGTATGATATATCTAAGATGTGGTGTACCATAGAAACTCAAAGCAATAGTCCAAATACCATAAACATTTCAAAGCGTGTAAAATGTGAGAGAACCATATTCATAATTTACGACACTAGGTGGACCTCCCAAGCGATTGGAATAGAAGCAGCCACATTTCCACCAAAATGCATGAAAACTCGAATCCATTCATTAACTATTTACATGCTAGCATGCGCTAAAGATCTGGCCCACCAGAAGCATTAGAAAGCCGAGTCAACTTGTGGTTACACGTTGCTTGGCTTCATTGAGTCGGCCTGGAGAACATTAAAGAGAAACAAAACAAGAAAATGGGACTTACGAGCATGCAAACAAGCACAATGCAAGGCTTTTCATGAGCAGGGCAGAATGGGTGCGAGGCGACACGCGAAGAACAGCCATTGGCGTGGATCTGGGCGACGATGCTCTCTCTTGGGGGCTGTGGAGTCGGGAAATTCAGAGCCCTCAGCAAGATAATGCTGAGAATCGTCTTCTAGACACAAAACGCTACTTTGACAAGATGGAATCTTGGACTGTGCTCGATGCTCAATGTGAGCGGCTTGAAGTCGGACGAGGCTTGTTTGCTGAGATGCTAAGTGAGTATAGCGACTTGGAATGCCTTGTTGACAGCGTAGGGCATACCAAAGAAGACTGGCATTTTCTCAAACAAGGCTGCCCCTTGCAGTTGCCGATATAGTGTCATGCCGAGTCTTGCAAGCGTTGATGTCCATGCGATTGCATTTCGAGGTAACATGGAATCAACATATGCTTTACGCTGGACATACGCATATGCTGTTGTCCACAACAAGGGTTAGCATCAAGGAGAATCTTGCATATGAACCAATCCATGCAACAGTATCTGGCATCTCGGCCAAGATAAGTTTGGCATCTTCCAGATGCCTATTTTGGGCATATGTGGTCACCATTGTAGACCACAATAAAACGCTCTTGGCTCGCTTGGCATCACTTGTAATACCACATTTTCCATAGATCTGGACGAGAAGATTTTCCAGGAAAACATTTTCCTTTCGATCTGAAAGGATCTGGCTGTGTATCTTTTTTGCGTCAATGGCGTTGCTGGCAGCTCTCCCTCGAGCACTCTTTAGGACAGCATTCTAGAACACTACTAAAGCCTTTGAGCATTCTCTTTTGCTCCAATCTCGCTACCTCATCTTTCATCCCCTTGGAGAGACAGACATAAAGCCCCGAATCCTCATGAACTTTACAAGAGCCGACCACGCAGGGAAATCCGTCTTAAATGGCATGCTAACGATCAGATCCAGAACCTCCCGGAGCTCCCTGGCGCGACACAAGAGATCAACTCTGCCATGTAAGTGCCAATCCACAGTCTTGCATTGCGAGAAACAATTCCCTCGATTCCTCGAAAAACCCACCCTACCAAAGAGCGCCTGGCCGGAGAAGCTTCACACTGGAGCATTTCCCTCAAGAGCTCCAGAGCATCGGGCATATGCCCAAACTGGGCATATGCTCCAATCATTGCATTCCACACGCATCGACATATACCCAGAGGGTGCTTATGGACACGGCCAAGGAGGTGTTCAAGCTGGCGAAGGATCCTGCTGTGGACGTCTGGGGGCCCATGATGGGATCTTGAGACAGCCAAGGCGATGGTGCACAGGATGAAAAACCCGAGGCACGCCATTGTTCGACATCAAGGCTGGAGAAATCAGCGATGCACAGGACGTCTTCAACAGGATGATGATTACCTCGATCAGGCACTATTCTCTGAGGCAAGGCGCATCTTCAAGGTCATGCCCAACACAGTCGCGTGGAACGCGATCATCCCCACTCATGGAGAGATGAGGAGGTGAGAATTCTGTTCGAAGGGATGGGAGCGCAGCGAAACTTGGAGTCGTGGAATGGACGTGACGACTTGGAATATTGTAATCACGTGAAAGCTGATGGCACTCTTGATAAGCTTGTCACTAAGGTATTTGCAGTTTGCATGATTTTGTTTTGTAGATAGTCCTCTTTATTGCGGAAGTTTGTCGAGCTCTATTTGAGGCTTTATCCAAGGTCTTTTCCTCGGCAAGAATGTAGTGGTAGTGTAGACCGAGAAGACGTCCTCGGCGGCTTGGAGGTGCCCGGCTGGGCGTAAGCAGAGATGATGATCTCGAGAGAGCAGCCAGCCACCCCATTGAAGACTTCGCATACTGTGATTCGTCACTGTGCCAAATCGAAGGACTTGGATCATTTCAGATGGCATGCAAAGTCTTTGGAGGAGGCGAAGCTGTTCCTTGTCACCATGCCACTTGGACCACGTAAATGAAGAGCGAGAACAACTACATCTTCGATGTTACCAATATCGGTCTAAGCAAGAACATTGACTTGTTTGCGGAGAATGAGGAGCCCCATTTATCACGACGATGAACTGCTTCAGACTTCTCAACACTCAGATGAGGCCGAATTATTTGCTGCTTCCTACGAACGTCTCAAATGTGCAGAACAATCACCATGAACTTCATCCAAGGACGAAGAGGTGTGACAATCCTTGTGCTTGTACTCAACAGGTTTCCTTCCCTTGTCGTTTCGATGCTTGCCATCACGCTGGAGCCATCACGCTGGAGCCATCACGCTGGGTGTGTTTCTACTACGAGAAAAGGTCTAACATCTCATTTATGCTTTCGCAATTACGATGTATTCACGTTTAACTGAATCCACTGTGCTCCGGAGCTAGTTCCTAAATCTTGAAACTGTAAAGCTGTAATTATCGTAAGGTGGCGGGAAAAGAAAAAGCTTGGTATGTTTCTCACTCGCAGTTTATTGCCTGGAAGCATTTCAACTTCAAGAGTTGCCTGAGATCAGGCACCTGAGACTGTGGACTGTTCTTATCACCATTGCCTGTTGCCTGTTGTTCCCTGGAGTTGATACTCCTTAGGCTCTTCACGAGGTAACGGCTTTCGATGTTGGCTACCTTGTCCATGGCCATGAATCTCTGTTGCTGCTAGACGACCGCTCTTCCAGACTCAAGATACTTCCCTCCAGGAAGTAAAGAAAGCAAACAAAATGTCCAGGGCTAAATCCGAGTAAGAAGCAAAGTATCGCCTTCTTGGTTTCGTCTGTGTCCATAGTACGAGCACCCAAAGAGCCTGAGAAGACATTCACATACCACACTGCCCTTTCTCTGCATGGTTTCGCGAAAGTCCAATTGGTTGAGTAAACAAACACATAAGGCCGGTCGTCATTGCAGTGAAGGCGAAGAGCTTCTCTTTACGTTCCAGCGGCCTGGAGCAGGCCCGAGGTCCAGAGCTACTCTTCTTCTCTCGTTCATTGGCTTGCACAGTTTTTATGGAGAGTGTTCTGTTTCTTTCATTTCTTCTCCTTTTTTTTTCTCCCAGTTAAGTAAGCAGCAGCTCCTACAGCTTACCGGGGAGATCGAGATCTCGTGCTGGGTTTTTGTTTTACAGGTAAGTTTGCGAGCTCTGGAGAATTCGCACCCAAAAAATGGCTGTCCAAGTTTCTAACATCCAATACGCCTCTGAAGCATCCGTTGATCCACACCAGAAATGATAATCTTTACTCGAAGCGAAGTTCCCACTCGCCAGATCCTTGTATGTATACTTTTGAGCCAAGCCTTGCAGTGCCTGTCAAGCCTGTGCTTCCAGATCATCAGCACGACCAAGCCAAGCGAATGCTCTGCGACCACCCCGACGAGAGTGGAGAGACATGGCCCTGTCCAGACACCGGAGGTTCAGCAGCGTTGTCAGGTTGATGTTGCTGCTGCTTTGCTGCTCGTGTGAGGCTAAACTCCCGCAGGCCACCCGCGGATATGACTTGCAGTCAATCTCGTCGAAAAGCCTGTCCATTTCCTGTACGGATTTATCGGCACTTGAAATAAGGCATGGCTCTTCCTTCGTTGATATCTTGAGCCTTCGGCTATTGTATCCAGGCCTTGATCCTAGACAATAGAAAAGACGAAAAGAAAAAGTGTAAGTCACCTTTACCTGTCTAGCTGAGAAGTAAAAGCTGAGGCCAGCTGATCCAGCTATGCTCACAATCGCGATAAGAAGAAGCTGACAAAAAGTACCTGGGGGAAAAGCAATGCTAATGAGTTCCTTGTCACCATTGACAAACTGGGATAGCTGAAACCTGGAGTATCAGCGAGCATAGCCCCCCTAAAATGGCAGATGCAAGAGAAACGTGCCGCATCGTGTGTCTTCCGGATCCAGTCCGTTACGACACCCGAATGACTTCATCGTCGACTTCGTCTAGTGCCTGTCCACGCGACAATTGAAGTTAGTTTCAGACGAAATTCGAAGGTATACAGACCTGGATGTCATCTGGTGGAAGGCAAGATTTTCCACGTAGAAAGTTGATCAAGCTCGATTTTCCCACTCCATTTGGACAAAAACAACTGATGTTTTATCTTCATGAAGCCCCATACCAGTCTCTACACTGCATATGTATGGTTTATATCCCGACTCCATCAGCTGCTTCTCCCAGCTATCTTTCATCTGAAAACTAAAAATGATCCTTCTATCAGCTTTGCAAAAGAAAATAAAACGGGTACCTCCTGAGTAACAAGATCCGCCTTACTGAGCACCACTGCTAGAGGTATTCCAGTAGACTCGCCTTTGACTAAGAACCTATTCATTATCACAGGATCCAAGCGCGGCCTATCCAGCACCAGTAGCAAATCAACATTAGCCACTGGTGGATCCGAAGTGTCCCATCGTCTCTGTAGAACATCTTCAATCATCTCGCGTTTGTCTGTCTAATCGATTCCCGAGACTAAAACACTATCACCAACCATGACTCTTCTCCTGATCTTTTGGAGAAATGCTCTCACCACGCAAAGAAGCTTAATCCCTGCTCTAAAGCCCTCTTCTTGCAAGCTCATCGAGCGCTCCAGCTCGTTCACCACGACAGTCATGAAATTCACCTGCGCCGACGTGACCTGACCGACTGCTCGATCCTCGGCTAGAAGATTGTCGAATCGCCTCACATCCGTTACATCACGCAGCTGCTTCCCCCTCATCGGCAGCCGCGTAACCTAGACCTAGAACACATGGCCAAAATTCTCTTTTTGGCGCCAAAATCGGGTTTGGTCCCCTGGTTCTTGGGAGGGAAAAATGGACAATCGGCACAGCACGTAGAAGCTCCGGATGTGCTGCTGCCACCGGGTTGCCACCTCAAAGACACTACTCCAGCAGCTAAGAGATCTCGTTCTTGGTGACTACAACTTCAACAGTTCAAGTCACTCCATCTTGGATTATCTTCTTTGCAGCGTGCTCGTTTGCAATCTTTGTGTTTGCCACAGCAACTTTCGGTGTGTACGTTCGCATGCGCTACGTGGAAAGAAAAGAAGAGGTAACTGTACCAGCTTAAATCATGCATGTTTATATAATTAATATGTATGCCAGAAAATTTGGATATAGATAGAGCTCAAGAAAAGGCACCCCACTCAATTTCATGCTATGTAGAGTATCTCTCATTTCCTACATGCTTTTGGTATCTGGAATGTGTATAGCTTTTGCTTTTCTAAGGCATACAGCTTGCTTTCATGAAGCAGTCTTTATCTATTGTATTTGAAAGAAACAGTTCTTTGGAATAGAAGTTACTTACAGCCAGCTCTCGTGCTTGATTGCATTGCCATAGCTTCTATGCTATGCTTCTCAATGTTTTCTTCTAACCATATATGATAAAGTAAACGCTTTCCAAGTGCTTTTTTAAGTTCCCTCTTGTTGCATGAATGTGGATTTAAGAGAATTTCTGAACCCACCACCGGGTGTTTTTGAAGATTCCCGACCATGACATGGAGCACACTGGTGGAGTGAAGTTTTGTCTCCTGGTGCCTGAGGCGCTTTAACGACCTCTTATATCGAATAACAATAATTTACTATCATAGCGCAGGTGTTCAGTTGAAGCGCGAATCGCCAGAAAATCTCATGACCCTCTACAGCAGAGCTCAAGAGAAATAGAAACTGACTAGAGCCACTCCTACGAATTTTACGGCATCCAGCGGCTTGAGACTATGAGCGCCAATTTGCTCGTCCGAATGTATGGCAAATGCGGTAGGCCAAATGATGCCAAGTGAGTGTTTGACGACATCGACGCCAAGACGTTTTCTCGTGGTGACTGCATATGCCCAAAACGTGTATGCCCGATCGGGATACTGTTGCATGGAATACAATTCTTAGAGCGTACGCACAGCATGGCCATGTAGACGAGGCAAAAGATTCTCTTTTTTTTATTCCAAATCCCAACTTTTGTCGTGGACAACAATGCTTACAGCATATGCCCAAAGCGGGTTTATGTCTAGCGCGAAGCGTATGTTTGATTCTATGTCACCTCGCAATGCAATTGCATGGAAATGAATGCTTGCTGGATATGCAAGACTCGGAGGTATCTTAGCCTCTTCAGGATTCTTTCGAAAGGTGCCCCAGCATGACACTATATCAGCTACTGCAATGGTTCCGGCATTTGCTGCGAGGGGCAATGACAGAGAGGCGTGTGCCTTGTTCGAGAATATGCCGGAGAGGAACGTCTTCTCATGGACGGCATTGCTCCAGGGATATGCTGAGAATCGTCTTCTAGACAAGGCAAAGAGCTACTTTGACAAGATGCCAGCATGGAATCTTGTGTTGTGGACTATGCTCGTTGTTTCATATGCTCAATGCGAGCGGCTTGAGATTGCACAAGACTTGTTTGTTGAGATGCCCGAGTAGAGCATAGTGACTTGGAATGCCTTGTTGGCAGTGATCGGGCATGCCAAGCCTTTGGAGGAGGCAAAGCTTTTCCTTGTCACTATGTCCGCATGGAACTTGGTGACCAAAAACACAATTTCTCAGATCAAGGAAGTCAAACAAAGTGAAACCACTAGTTGACTTGGCTAATGCTTCTGTCAGGCTTGCTGGAAGAGGAGGCGTCATCGTTGGTGGATCGAACCACAGCCATGCAACGCGGGATACACAAGACTCTATTGCAGAAGGGAAAGACCATGGAAATGAAGAGCAAGAACAACTACAACTTCGATGTGGTACCAGGATCTCTTCCTGCGGTCTAAGAACATTGAGTTGTTTCTGGAGAACGAGCTTACAAAAAAGTTAGTAACTTTTTTCTATAAACTTCCATTCCAATCCAACAAGTATCCACTGCATAATCTGTTTGAGCACAGAAGATTGGAGCTATGGCGGAGTCACAAGGCGCAGCCAAACTGATGTTGAATCCAAGGGAGAAACTCACTGGAGCACTTGTGATTGGCATCGCTTTTGCAACTTTCGTGGCAACACTTGTGGTCACTGCCATCTTCGCGGTTCCAAAGATGATCAAGCCACCTCCAGGGGATTACTACCCGGATATCGTCAAGGAGGACAAGTGCTCTACTTGCTGGGAAGCCACCGTCTTTGCCACAAGCTCCGATCCATTCTACCAGTGGGTCTGTGATTCCTCACTCCCGGATACTCTTAACGCCTCGCTGAGGGGAACGCTTGCATGCCAGAGGGCCAGCATCTGGCGTGTTTCAGGCAATATCACCTCTGCAAATGAGAGCTCCTTGTATAGCTCGCCAGATCCCCACATTCTTGGAGGAGAGCTTGTCAAGAGAAGCAGGACTCTGGTGTGGAAGATGACAGTCTACTGGGGGATGAGTGTAAGAGCTTGTTTTGACTTGCTAAATCCCATGGAGGATTCATGTCTCTACACAACGCCGATCGTCCAGACCGCTCTTGGATCATATGCAGCGCTCTTGGTTGGCATTCCGTATCGGAAGGCTTCACAGAACCCATATGCCGTGGAGAGCAGCGCTTTGTATCTGGACAATAGTGCGGTGTATTTGACGAACTTTGTGAGCAACGCTAGAACCGGTGCTGGATTGAAGCTCAAAAGCTCTGGCAAAGGAATCAAGAACTACGTCTACGAAGGCCAGGTTTGCAACAGGGCCTCCCCGATCCTCATCACTCCGGACGTGGTTTCCTACATGGGTTTTCCAAGCTTACAGTGCGCTTGCGATGGTATCCTTTGCCTTGTGGGTCTGAACATCACTGGCACAGCTTCGAATGAGGATAAGATTCTTCCTCTGAAACTAAATGCCTCCGGTTGTGGCCAGGGCATGTCGTTTTGGGATTGCGATAGATATCCTTTGAAAGAGCATAGAACCGAATTCTTCTCTTACAGCCCGAGATGGGAGAGATCGATACTACTCGAGGTGAATTTCAGCACAAACTTCGAGGAGGCAATCCGTGGTCCCAACCAGATACTCAAAGACTTCGTTTCTTGCACCGAGGACACAATCCAGAAGAAGGATCCGAGCGATGACACACTAGTGTCAGATCTGCAGGAGTGCTTGAAAAGTCCAATTGTTGCCGTGAGCCCTAGCCCTCGCAAAAGAATCGTAAATGGGGAATTGCTGAAAGATCTCATGGACACCTTCAATAACAAGGTTCCAAACGACAAGGACGACAACTTCTTGTGTGGCATGGACGAAGGCCAGTCAAAGCTGGCGGACAAGTTGTGCACGGTAAGCTTGGACGATCTAAACATGCAAGTTCTGGAGAAGCGCTTGAGGGAGTCTTTAACGGACGTGCAAAGGTTCATGAAGGAGGAATGGGAGAGCACTTGGTCGCAGAGATCAGACGTAACTGTTGGGATTGTCACAGCGGTGGTGACCATCCTTGTGACCATCTGGGGGATGTTCAACAAGGATTTGCAAAAGGTGGAGGCGTTGATCTTGAAGCGCGCAGGCAAATTCACCAGTGTTGTGAAAGTGACAATAGGACTTCCACTGTTTAAGACGGGAATTCGGGGTTTTCTGCTCTTGGGTGTAACATGTTTAACGTATTTGTCAGCTTGAATGCTGTGCGAAGTGAGCCCCGGCTTGCCACCTCGAAAACACTACTTCAGCAGCAGCAGGGGACCTTGTTCTTCTTGACTACAACTTCAACAGTTCAAGTCACTCCATCTTGGATTATCTTCTTTGCAGCATGCTCGTTTGCAATCTTTGTGCTTGCCACAGTAACTTTCGGTGTGTACGTTCGCATGTGCTACGTGGAAAGAAAAGAAGAGGTAACTGTACCATCTTAAATCATGCATGTTTATATAATTAATATGTATTCTTTGATGAGTTTTGGATATAGATAGAGCTCAAGAAAAAGAGAAACTGATTAAAATGAAAGTAACTAAAAAGTTACTACGAATTTTGCGGCATCCAGCGGCTTGAGACTATGAGCACAAAAAGACCAGCCCCACATAATGTGTGTGATTTACGAATTATATCCAGGGATGATTGCGTCTTTCAACGCAGCAATAGCACATTACTTCAGTATCGTGAGCTATGATCAATTTTTTTATCTAAGAGGGCAAAAGAGAATAAGTCTTTTATAAAACTAGTAGTGTAGAATGCCGTTCTAATGAGTTCTCTCAAGAGAGCAGCCAGCCACGCCATTGAAGACTTCGCAACCGTGATTCGCCACTGTGCCAAATCCAAGGACTTGGCAAAGGGTCGCTGGATACACAACCAGATCATTTCAGATCAAAAGGAATACAGAGAGAATGTCTTCCTGCCCAATTTTCTCGTCCAGATGTATGGCAAATGCAGTAGCCCAAATGATGCCAAGCGAGTGTTTGACGCCATCGACGCCAAGAACGTTTTCTCGTGGGCTGTTATGATCACTGCATATACCCAAAACGGGTATCTGCAAGATGCTAAGCTTATCTTTGACGAGATGCCCCATGGAATACAATGCTTGGAGCGTACGCACAACACAGCCATGTAGAGAAGGAAAATATTCTTTTTGATTCGATTCCAAATCCCAACATTGTTTCGTGGACGACAATGCTTACAGCATATGCTCAAAGCGGGTATATGTCTAGCACGGAGCATATGTTTGATTCTATGTCACCTCGCAATGCAATTGCATGGACATCAATGCTTGCTGGATATGCAAGACTCGGAGGGTATCTTAGCCTCTCCAGGATTCTTTCGAAAGGTGCCCCAGCATGACACTATATCAGCTACTGCAATGGTTCCGGCATTTGCTGCGAGGGGCAATGACAGAGAGGCGTGTGCCTTGTTCGAGAATATGCCAGAGAGGAACGTCTTCTCATGGACGGCATTGCTCCAGGGATATGCCGAGAATCGTCTTCTAGACAAGGCAAAAAGCTACTTTGACAAGATGCCAGCATGGAATCTTGTGTCGTGGACTGTGCTCGTCATTTCATATGCTCAATGCGAGCGGCTTGAAATTGCACAAGACTTGTTTGTTGAGATGCCCGAACGGAGCATAGTGACTTGGAATGCCTTGTTGGCAGCGATCGGGCACGCCTAGTTCTTGGAGGAGGCAAAGCTTTTCCTTGTCACTATGCCCGCATGGAACTTGGTGACCAAAAACACAATATCTCAGATCAAGGAAGTCAAACAAAGTGAAACCACTAGTTGACTTGGCTAATGCTTCTGTCATGAGTTTGCTGGAAAAGGAGGCGTCATCGTTGGTGGATCGAACCACAGCCATGCAACACAGGATGCACAAGACTCTATTGCAGAAGGGAAAGACCATGGAAATGAAGAGCGAGAACAACTACAACTTCGATGTTATACCAGGATCTCTTCCCACGGTCTAAGAACATTGACTTGTTTCCGGAGAACGAGCAACCGCTGCTTTGGTGGTGTTATTGCAAGATGAACTGCTTCAGACTTCTTGTACGCAGTGCACAGGCTGAGGCCGAACTATTTGCTGCTTCCTGCGAACGCTCTCAAATTTGCACAACAATCTCCATGAAATTCAGGTCAATTCTCTCTAATCTCAACAACCAACTCGAGCCCACTTATACAGATGATAGAAAGCCTCAAGATGATCACTCTCTCGTATCTACTCTCAAAGAAATCCCAGCTTCGGACACACAGGGAATTCTAACTCCTAAGGAGCACCAGCGTGCCTCACGAATTCTCAAACACTAGTTTATATACTACCTACGCTGTCATTCCATGATCCTCTTGGATCACAACTGCAGATGCCCGATAGCAAATTCCTCCAGGCATCATTAGAAAATCCTCTGCGCCACCTTGCCACCTGACCTTAGGCGGCAGCTTTAAGAGCAGACGCATAGGTTTGTAAAGAAGGGAGAGCACTTCGGCAGAGAGATCAAGGAGTTGCAAGAAGTTTGATCGTGAAAGGTCACCAAAGTTGTTAAAGATGGGAGTGTTTGTGCTCGTGGGTGTGACGTGTTCATAAAGCTTGTGAGCCTCGCCTTGCCACTTTAGAAACACTTCTCCAGCAGCTCAATGGGATCTCGTTCCTAGCGACTACAACCTCAACAGTTCAAGTCACTTGCAATCTAATTTGTATTTTTCAGTTACTTTTGGTGTGTACATTCGCATGAAATAACTGAAAAACTGTGCTTCCAAGGGAAATTCAAGGTTAAAATGAGAGGGGTACACTGCAAAAGAAACACTAGCCCGAAAGCAAAGATCCAAATGCTACACAACTGTGTCAGATTTTTTTTTGTCTTTTTTAAGTATCAACTTCAAGCTTTATTCTTCTTTCTTTACTCAGGTTTTCTTTTTATAAAGCAAAATTCACATTCGGTTTTGAAGACACCCCCTTATTGAATAGTTTTATATTTCACCTCTGAAATTAAGTATGATATATGTAAGATGTGGTGTACCATAGAAACTCAAAGCAATAGTCCAAATACCATAAACATTTCAAAGCGTGTAAAATGTGAGAGAACCATATTCATAATTTACGACACTAGGTGGACCGCCCAAGCGATTGGAATAGAAGCAGCCACATTCTCCACCAAAAGGCATAGCATCCATAGACGACATACAGCTTGCAGTCGTGAAAGAATCTCTATCTCTTCCCTTTATTTCATTTGCTAGACTCTTCATTGGTTTTGTGTTTTATGGACGTATGAAAACTCGAATCCATTCATTAACTATTTACATGCTAGCATGCGCTAAAGATCTGGCCCACCAGAAGCATTAGAAAGCCGAGTCAACTTGTGGTTACACTTTGCTTGGCTTCATTGATTCGGCCTGGAGAACATTAAAGAGAAACAAAACAAGAGAATGGGACTTGCGAGCATGCAAACAAGCACAATACAAGGCTTTTCACGAGCAGGCAGAATGGGTGCGAGGCGACACATGAAGAACAGCCATCGGCGTGGATCTGGGCGACGATGCTCTCTCTTGGGGGCTGTGGAGTAGGGAAATTCAGAGCCCTCAGCAAGATAATGCTGAGAATCGTCTTCTAGACACAAAACGCTACTTTGACAAGATGGAATCTTGGACTGTGCTCGATGCTCAATGTGAGCGGGTTGAAGTTGGACGAGGCTTGTTTGCTGAGATGCTAAGTGGAGTATAATGCCTTGTTGACAGCGATAGGGGATACCAAAGAAGACTGGCCCTTGCAGTTGGCGATATAGTGTCATGCCGAATCTTGCTGTCCATGCGATTGCATTTCGAGGTGACATGGAATTGCTTTACACTGGACATATGCATATGCTGTTGTCCACAACAAGGGTTAGCATCAAAGAGAACCAATCCATGCAACAGTATACGCTTTTAGTTTTGATTTTTGCCACTCAGGTGGTTTTTGTGATTACTTGTTGATAGTACTTTTATTTTCCCTAGTTATTATCTTTTCATAAATATTAAATGTTTACTTTTAAAAAAAATCCTAGACCACAATAAAACGTTTTTGGCTCGCTGTACTAGATGTGCTATCACACAAGGAGGTGTTCAAGCTGGCAAAGGATCCGGCTGTGGACCTCTGGGGCCCATGATCGCCGAGAGTGGGATCTTGAGACAGCCAAGGCGATGGTGCACAGGATGAAAAACCCGAGTGTGGCTTCTTGCACATCAAGGCTGGAGAAATCAGCGATGCACAGGACGTCTTCAACAGGATAATGGGTTTACCTCGATCAGGCAATATTCTCTGCATCTTCAAGCTCATGCCCAACACAGTCGCGTGGAACACGATCATCCCTGCTCATGGAGAGATGAGGAGGTGAGAATTATGTTCGAAGGGATAGGAGCGCAGCGAAACTTGGAGACGTGACGACTTTGGAAATCATAATCACGTGAAAGCTGATGGCACTCTTGATAAGCTTGTCACTAAGGTATTTGCAATTTGCATAATTTTATTTTGTAGATAATCCTCTCTATTGCGGAAGTTTGACGAGCTCTCTTATCCAAGGTCTTTTCCTTGGCAGGAATGTCGTAGTAGTGTAAACCTATTGCTGTCCTAGAAGACGTCCTCGGCGGCTTGGAGGTGCCCGGCCTGGGCGTAAACGGAGATGATGATCTCAAGAGAGCAGCCAGCCACCCCATTGATTCGTCACTGTGCCAAATCGAAGGACTTGGCAAAAGGTCGCTGGATACACAGTCAGATCATTTCAGATGGCATGCAAAGTCTTTGGAGGGATCCTTGTCACACGGTCTAAGCAAGAACATTGACTTGTTTGCGGTGAATGAGGAGCCTCATTTATTACGACGATGAACTGCTCGTGTGCTGACACCCAGATGAGGCCGAATTATTTGCTGCAATCACCATGACGAAGAGGTATGACAATCAGCGGTTTGCTTTTTTCCTTGTGCTTGTACTCAACAGGTTTCCTTCCCTTCTCGTTACGCTGGGCGTGTTTCTACTACGAGAAAAGGTCTAACATCTCATTTATGCTTTGGCAATGGATACGTTTAACTGAATCCACTGTGCTCCAGTTCCTAAATCTAACTGCAAAGCTGTAATTATCGTGGGAAAAGAAAACTCACAATTTATTGCCTGGAAGCATTTCAACTTCAAGAGTTGCCTGAGATCGGGCACCTGAGACTGTGGAATGTTCTTATCACCACCTGTGTTTTGCGATACTTAGGCTCTTCACGAGGTAACGGCTTTCGATGTTGGCTACCTTGTCCATGGCCATGAATCTGTGTTGCTGCTAGACGACCAGTCTTCCAGACTCAAGATGCAACCCACCAGGAAGTAAAGAAAGCAAACAAATGTCCAGGGCTAAATCCGAGTAAGAAGCAAAGCATCGCCTTCTTGGTTTCGTCCGTGTCCATAGTACGAGCACCCAAAGAGCCTGAAAAGACACTCACATACCACACTGCCCTTTCTCTGCATGGTTCATGGGTCTTCGTCTGCCCAAAAGTCCAATTGGCTGAGTAAACAAACACATAAGGTCGGTCGTCATTGCAGTGAAGGCGAAGAGCTTCTCTTTACGTTAGCTCTTGAGAAATCGCAAACTTCTCCCAAAAAAAGGCTGTCGAAGTTTCTAACATCCAATACGCCTCTGAAGCATCCGCTGAAGCATCCGTTCTTTACTCGAAGCGAGGTTCCCACTCGCCAGCTCCTTGTATGTATACTTTTGAGCCAAGCCTTGCAGTGCCTGTCAAGCCTGTGCTTCCAGATCACCAAGCCAAGCGAATGCTCTGCGACCACCCCGACGAGAGTGGAGAGTCATGACCCTGTCCAGACACCGGAGGTTCAGCGGCGTTGTCAGGTTGATGTTGCTGCTGCTTTGCTGTTCGTGTGAGACTAAACTCCCGGAGGCCACCCGCGGATATGACTTGCAGTCAATCTCGTCGATAAGCCTGTCCATTTCCTGTACGGATTTATCGATAAGGCATGGCTCTTCCTTCGTTGATATCTTGAACCTTCGGTTGAGACCAGCTGATCCAGCTATGCTCACAATTGCGATAAGAAGAAGCTGACAAAAAATACCTTGGGGAAAAGCAATGCTAGAGAAGGAGAGTTCCTTCTCACCATTGACAAGCTGGGATAGCTGAAACCTGGAGTATCAGCGAGCATAGCCCCTCTAAATGGCAGATGCAAGAGAAACGTGCCGCATCGTGTGTCTTCCGGATCCAGTCCGTTACGACACCTCACTTACGCGAATGAGTGCCTGTACAACAACTGGATACACAGCCAGATAATTTCAGATCAAAAGGAATACAGAGAGAACGTCTTCCTGGCCAATTTACTCGTCCAGATGTATGGCAAATGCGGTAGCCCGAATGATGCCAAGCGAGTGTTTGACGAGAACGTTTTCTCGTGGGCCGTTATGATGCTGCATATACCCAAAACGGGTATCTGCAAGATGCTAAGCTTATATTTGACGAGATGCCCGATCGGGATACTGTTGCATGGAATACAATGCTTGGAGCGTACGCACAGCATGGCATTGTAGACGGGAAAAAGATTCTTTTTTGTTTGATTGCAAATCTCAACTTTGTGTCGTGGACGACAATGCTTACAGCATATGCCCAAAACGGGTATATGTCTAGCGCGAAGCATATGTTTGATTCTATGTCACCTCGCAATGCAATTGCATGGAAATGAATGCTTGCTGGATATGCAAGACTCGGAGGTATCTTAACATTTTGAGGATGTTTTCGAAAGATACCCCAGTGACACGATATCAGCTACTGCAATGATTTCGGCATTTGCCGCGACGGGCAATGACAGAGAGGCATGTGCCTTGTTCGAGAATATGCCAGAGAGGAACGTCTTCTCATGGACGGCGTTGCTCCAGGGATATGCCGAGAATCGTCTTCTAGACAAGGCAAAGAGCTACTTTGACAAGATGCCAGCATGGAATCTTGTGCCGTGGACTGTGCTCGTCGTTTCATATGCTCAATCCGAGCGGCTTGAGATTGCACAAGACTTGTTTGTGGAGATGCCCGAGCGGAGCATAGTGACTTGGAATGCCTTGTTGGCAGCGATTGGGCATGCCAAGTCTTTGGAGGAAGCGAAGCTTTTCCTTGTCACTATGCCCGCATGGAACTTGGTGACCAAAAACACAATCTCTCAGATCAAGGAAGTCAAACAAAGTGAAACCACTAGTTGACTTGGCTAATGCTTCTGTCATGAGCTTGCTGGAAGAGGAGGCGTCATCGTTGGTGGATCGAACCACAGCCATGCAACGCGGGATACACAAGACTCTATTGCAGAAGGGAAAGACCATGGAAATGAAGAGCGAGAACAACTACAACTTCGATGTTATACCAGGATCTCTACGCTGTGCACAGGCTGAGGCCGAACTATTTGCTGCTTCCTGCGAACGCTCCCAAGTGTGCTCATAACAACAACCATCACGAGGTGGTATGACAAGCAACGCTCTTGCTTTTACGTTCTATATTCTGTGTTTGCAGGTGAACTATTTCCCTTCCCATTTTGATCCTTGCCACCCTCTCGGTGGTCGACGAGAAGAGGTTTGTTTAGTCTACCTTTCAGCTTCTCATTTTATGCTTTGGCATTCTCTTGTAGGTGATGATTGAAAAGGAAAATAACTTTGCTCAGCCAGGAGCAACGTTCCGCTCCGGACCTGGTGACAGGCAAGATCTCAAACCTCTCTCTCAGCTAATCATGTTTTAACTGAATCTCTGCTCCTCTTCCAGGCAAGAGCGTTTCATTGCGAGAGTTCTGGATGCTCTGTCCGACCCGCGCGTCACCCACGAAATCCGTAGCATCTGGCTCTCTTACTGGTCTCAGGTTAGACAATAAAGAAAATACAACATGTGATCAAACTCAACCATGAAAGTGTGCAGGCGGATCGTATGCTTGGTCAGAAGATTGCAACGAAATTCAACGTGAAAGCCAACATGTAAACGGATAAAACTATATCTGTGTCCATCGTGGTGATCGTGGTGAAAGAAAGACGTACTAGTTTCAATTATTACTCTTTTTCTAACAATCCAAATCTGCATTATTATTGAGGTATGTTTCTTGCATTGTATTGCTTGAGTTTTATTTGTTACCCGAGAGATCAGGCACCAGAGACTGTGGAATGCTCTTGTCACCACCTGTGTCTTTCTTGTTGCTCGTTGCTCCCTTGGTGTCATACCCAGGCCAAACCCCTGGACAGTTTGTTTGCTTTCCTTTTTCCAACAAGGTTCTCGTCTTGAGTCTGGAAGAGTGGTCGTCTAGCAAGAGTAGCATTTGGTGTCATGACAGGCTAGCCAACGTTATCTAAAGCTCACAAACCTCATGAAGAGCGTCTTCCAGCCTCTGTAGCCCGCCCGGAGTAAGTTCCTCACAGTCGCACGCCGCAGTGACTATGGGCGTGTGGACACGAGGAACACTGTCCAGTTCGTTCTGAGAAGCGTCCTCACTGGAGCGATCGCCGGGACGCCTCTGGCGGCCCACAAGTTAAAGTCAGTGTCGTGGTAGCTCCCAGCTCTGCAAAGTTTTAACTTTCAACAGGGAAGGAAGAGATAGATCCAGACGTTACCCGAACTGCTTTGTAGCAAAGTAAGGCGTGGTTGAGAGGAGAGTACCATCGACATCAAACAGCCACGCATCAATGCCGGCCTGGCGCAGAAAGTCTGGGCTTGCTGGAATGCCAAGCTCGTTGCAGCTTGGACGTCGGTACTGTGGCCCGGTGGTGTAGCTCCGGACGTAGGGAACACACTCGGCAGGGACTCTCCAGCTCAAGAGGTTTCCAGACGCAACGCTAAACTGGAAGCTGCGACAGTAGGAATCCACGGACTGGGACCTTGGATCTCTCGGCGGGAGGGAAATGTGCTCGGGATGGAACGCTAGAATTTATATTTTTTTAGCTAGCTTTAAATAAATATGGTGAGAAATACCTCATAGGGAGGCAACTGAGGGAGCACATTCGTGCCCGTCCGCGACGACGACCAGAATTGATCCATTATATGTTTTATAGTGGTACCTTTATGTTCATTAATACAGTATTTGTACCCAGTTTTATATAAGATCACAGCTTGTATGATCAATACTTATTGTTATTACAGGAGGGGAAAGATCATGTAGAATAGGCATAATTTTCCATCGTCGTTCGTTGTTGTTGTCAATCAATTCAATCAATCAATCAACGTTCATACAAAGAATTTTCACGTACTGCAACTATGCAAAGGGATTAATCACTTTATTCGCCACTTACTTACAAAAAAGTTAGTAACCTTTCTATATAAACTTCTATTCCAGCGGGTATCCACCGCATAATCTATTTGAGCAGAGAACATTAGAGCTATGGCGGAGTCACAAGGCGTACCTAAACTGATGTTGAATCCAAGGGAGAAACTCACTGGAGCGCTTTTGATTGGCACCGCATTTGCAACTTTCGTCGCGACACTTCTGCTCACTGCCATCTTCGCGGTTCCAAAGATGAGCAAGCCACCTCCAGGGGATTACTACCCGGATATCATCAAGGAGGACAAGTGTTCTACGTGCTGGGAAGCCACCGTCTTTGCCACAAGCTCCGATCCATTCTACCAGTGGGTCTCTGATTCCTCAGTCCCGGATACTCTTAACGCCTCGCTGAGGGGAACGCTTGCATACCAGAGGGCCAGCATCTGGCGTGTTTCGGGCAATATCACCTCTACAAATGAGAGGTCCTTGTATAGCTCGCCAGATCCCCACATTCTTGGAGGAGAGCTTGTCAAAAGAAGCAGGACTCTGGTGTGGAAGATGACAGTCTACTGGGGGATGAGTGTAAGAGCTTGTTTCGACATCCAAGATCTCATCGAGGAGTCCTGTCTCTACACAACGCCGATCGTCCAGACCGCTCTTGGATCATATGCAGCGCTCTTGGTTGGCGTTCCGTATCGGAAGGCTTCACAGGAACCATATGCCGTGGAGAGCAGCGCTTTGTATCTGGACAATAGTGCGGTGTATTTGACGAACTTTGTGAGCAACGCTAGAACCAGTGCTGGATTGAAGCTCAAAAGCTCTGGCAAAGGAATCAAGAACTACGTCTACGAAGGCCAGGTTTGCAACAGGGCCTCCCCGATCCTCGTCACCCCGGACGTGGTTTCTTACATGGGTTATCCAAGCTTCCAGTGCGCTTGCGATGGTAACCTTTGCCTTGTGGGTCTGGACTTCACTGGGACAGCTTCGAATGAGGATGATATTTTTCCTCTGAAACTAAATGCCTCCGGGTGTGGCCAGGGCAATTCGTTTTGGGATTACGATAGGTTTCCTTTGGAAGAGAATAGAACCAGCTTCTACTCTTACAGCCCGAGATGGGAGACATCGATACTACTCGAGGTGAATTTCATCACAAACTTCATGGAGGCAATCCGTGGTCCCAACCAGATACTCAAAGATTTCGTTTCTTGCACCGAGGACACGATCCAGAAGAAGGCTCCGAGCGATGACACACTAGTGTCAGATCTGCAGGAGTGCTTGAAAAGTCCAATTGTTGCCGTGAGCCCTATCTTTCAAAAAAGACTCGTAAATGGGGAAATGTTTAAAGATCTCGTGGACACCTTAAATAGCGACGTTCCAGACGACGAGGACGACAACTTCTTGTGTGGCATGGACGAAGGCCAGTCAAAGATGGCGGACAAGCTGTGCACGGTAAGCTTGGAGGATCTAAACATGCAAGTTCTGGAGAAGCGCTTGAGGGAGTCTCTAACGGACGTGCAAAGGTTCATGAAGAAGGAATGGGAGAGCACTTCGTCGCAGAGATCGGACATAACTGTTGGGATTGTCACAGCGGTGGTGACCATCCTTGTGACCATCTGGGGGATGTTCAACAGGGATTTGCAAGAGGTGGAGGCGTTGATCTTGAAGCACACAGGCAATTTCACCAGAGTTGTGCAAGCGACAATAGGACTTCCACTGTTTAAGACGGGAATTCGGGGTTTTCTACTCTTGGGTGTGATCGTGTGGAACATGTTTAACGTGTTTGTCAGCTTGAATGCTGTGGGAAGTGAGCCCCGGCTTGCCACCTCGAAAACACTACTTCAGCAGCAGCAGGGGGCCTTGTTCTTGGTGACTACAACTTCAACAGTTCAAGTCACTCCATCTTGGATTATCTTCTTTGCAGCGTGCTCGTTTGCAATCTTTGTGCTTGCCACAGTACCTTTCGGTGTGTACGTTCGCATGCGCTACGTGGAAAGAAAAGAAGAGGTAACTGTACCAGCTTAAATCATGCATGTTTATATAATTAATATGTATTCTTTGATGAGTGCCGCAACATTTGGATATAGATAGAGCTCAAGAAAAAGAGAAACTGATTAAAATGAAAGTAAGTAAAAAGTGTCAACCCACTCAATTTCATGCTGTGTAGAGTATCTTCTCATGTGTTACATGCTTTTGGTATCTGGAAAGTGTATAGTTTTTGCTTTTCTAAGGCATACAGCTTGCTTTCATTAAGCAGTCTTTATCTATTGTATTTGAAAGCAACGGTTCCAAGCATCCGGGCTACTGTCTTTGGAATAGAAGTTACTTACAGCCAGCTCTCGTGCTTGATTGCATTCGCCGCGCCCTTTTTCTTCCTCGTACAAGTAGGCCGTGGCATTGCCATAGCTTCTATGCTATGCTGCTCAATGTTCTCTTCTAACCATATATGATAACTCTTGTTGCATGAATGTGGATTTAAGAGAATTTCTCAGCCCACCACCGGGTGTTTTTGAAGATTCCCGACCAGGGCATGGAGCACAGTGGTGGAGTGAAGTTTTGTTTCCTCCTGGTGCCTGAGGAGTTTTAACGACCTCTGATATCAGTCCGAGCCAAATAACAATCTCATCACCCTCCACAGCAGAGCTCAAGAGAAATAGAAAGTAGATCCACTCCTACGAATTTTGCGGCGAACAGCTTGAGACTATGAGCACAAAAAGGCCAGCCCCACATAATGTGTGTGGTTTACGAACTATATCCAGGGATGATTGCGTCTTTCAACGCAGCAATAGCACATTACTTCAGTATCGTGATCTATGATCAATTTTTTTATCCAAGAGGGCAAAAGAGAATAAGTCGTTTATAAAACCAGTAGTGTAGAATGCCGTTCTCAAGAGAGCAGCCAGCCACGCCATTGAAGACTTCGCAACCGTGATTCGCCACTGTGCCAAATCCAAGGACTTGGCAAAGGGTCGCTGGATACACAGCCAGATCATTTCAGATCAAATGGAATACAGAGAGAACGTCTTCCTGGTCAATTTGCTCGTGCAGATGTATGGAAAATGCGGTAGCCCAAATGATGCCAAGCAAGTGTTTGACGCCATCGACGCCAAGAACGTTTTCTCGTGGGCAGTTATGATGACTGCATATACGGGTATCTGCAAGATGCTAAGCTTATATTTGACGAGATGCCCGATCGGGATACTGTTGCGTGGAATACAATGCTTGGAGCGTACGCACAACACGGGCATGTAGACGAGGCAAAGATTCTTTTTGATTCGATTCCAAATCCCAACATTGTTTCGTGGACGACAATGCTTACAGCATATGCTCAAAGTGGGTATATGTCTACCGCGAAGCATATGTTTGATTCTATGTCACTTCGCAATGCAATTGCATGGACATCAATGCTTGCTGGATATGCAAGACTCGGAGGTATCTTAGCATCTTGAGGATTGTTTCGAAAGATGCCCCAGCATGACACTATATCAGCTACTGCAATGGTTTCGGCATTTGCCGCGAGGGGCAATGACAGAGAGGCGTGTGCCTTGTTCGAGAATATGCCGGAGAGGAACGTCTTCTCATGGACGGCATTGCTCCAGGGATATGCCGAGAATCGTCTTCTAGACAAGGCAAAGAGCTACTTTGACAAGATGCCAGCATGGAATCTTGTGCCGTGGACTGTGCTCGTCGTTTCATATGCTCAATCCGAGCGGCTTGAGATTGCACAAGACTTGTTTGTGGAGATGCCCGAGCGGAGCATAGTGACTTGGAATGCCTTGTTGGCAGCGATTGGGCATGCCAAGTCTTTGGAGGAAGCGAAGCTTTTCCTTGTCACTATGCCCGCATGGAACTTGGTGACCAAAAACACAATCTCTCAGATCAAGGAAGTCAAACAAAGTGAAACCACTAGTTGACTTGGCTAATGCTTCTGTCATGAGCTTGCTGGAAGAGGAGGCGTCATCGTTGGTGGATCGAACCACAGCCATGCAACGCGGGATACACAAGACTCTATTGCAGAAGGGAAAGACCATGGAAATGAAGAGCGAGAACAACTACAACTTCGATGTTATACCAGGATCTCTTCCTGCGGTCTAAGAACATTGACTTGTTTCCGGAGAACGAGCAACCGCTGCTTTGGTGGTGTTATTGCAAGATGAACTGCTTCAGACTTCTTGTACGCTGTGCACAGGCTGAGGCCGAACTATTTGCTGCTTCCTGCGAACGCTCTCAAATTTGCACGACAATCTCCATGAAATTCAGGTCAATTCACTCTAATCTCAACAACCAACTCGAGCCACTTATACAGATGACAGAAAGCCTCAAGATGATCTCTCTCTCGTATCTACTCTCAAAGACATCCCAGCTTGGGGAATTCGAACTCCTAAGGAGCACCAGCCTGCCTCACGAATTCTCAAACACTAGCTTATATACTACCTACGCTGTCATTCCATGATCCTCTTGGGTCACAACTGCGGATGCCCGATAGCAAATTCCTCCAGGCATCATTAGAAAATCCTCTGCGCCACCTTGCCACCTGACCTTGGGCGGCACAAGCTTTAAGAGCAGACGCATAGGTTTGTAAAGAAGGGAGAGCACTTCGGCAGAGAGATCAAGGATTACTATTAGGATCGTAAAAGGTCACCAAAGTTGTGGGACTTCCATTGTTTAAGATGGGAGTGTTTGTGCTCGTGGGTGTGACGTGTTCATAAAGCTTGTGAGCCTCGCCTTGCCACTTCAGAAACACTTCTCCAGCAGCTCAATGGGATCTCGTTCCTAGCGACTACAACCTCAACATTGCAATCTAATTTGTATTTTTCAGTTACTTTTTTTGTGTGTACATTCGCATGAAATAACTGAGGAACTGTGCTTCCAAGCGAAATTCAAGGTTAAAATGAGAGGGGTACACTGCAAAAGAAACACTAGCCCGAAAAGCAAAGATCCAAATGCTATTGGAATAGAAGCAGCCACATTCTCCACCAGAAAGCATAGCATCCATAGACGACATACAGCTTGCAGTCATGAAAGAATCTCTATCTCTTCCTTTTATTTCATTTGCTAGACTCTTCATTGGTTTTGTGTTTTATGGACGTCTGAAAACTCGAACGTTGCGCTAAAGATTTGGCCCACCAGAAGCATTAGAAAGCCGAGTCAACTTGTGGTTACACTTTGCTTGGCTTCATTGATTCGGTCTGGAGAACATTAAAGAGAAACCAAACAAGAGAATGGGACTTACGAGCATGCAAACAAGCACAATACAAGGCTTTTCATGAGCAGGGCAGAATGGGTGCGAGGCGACACGCGAAGAACAGCCATCGGCGTGGATCTGGGCGACGATGCTCTCTCTTGGGGGCTGTGGAGTAGGGAAATTCAGAGCTCTCAGCAAGATAATGCTGAGAATCGTCTTCTAGACACAAAACGCTACTTTGACAAGGACTGTGCTCGATGCTCAATGTGAGCGGCTTGAAGTCGGACGAGGCTTGTTCTAAGTGGAGTATAGCGACTTGGAATGCCTTGGTGACAGCGATAGGGCATACCAAAGAAGACTGGCCCTTGCAGTTGGCGATATAGTGTCATGCCGAGTCTGGCAACATGGAATCAAACATATGCTGTTGTCCATAACAAGGGTTAGGATCAAAGAGAATCTTGCAGCAACATGCATATGAACCAATCCATGCAACAGTATATGCTTTTAGTTTTGATTTTTGCCACTCAGTGGTTTTTGTGATTACTTGTTGATGTTGAGATTGAGACGGACATAGTACTATTATTTTCCCTCTTGGCTTTGTTCTTGAATTGTAGTTATTATCTTTTCATAAATATTAAATGTTTACTTTTAAAACAAAATTCTCTCCACACAATAAAACGTTCTTGGCTCGCTTGGCATCACTTGTACTAGAGCATCGAGCATATGCCCAATCTGGGCATATGCTCCAGTCATTGCATTCCACACGCATCGACGTATACCCAGAGGGTGCTTATGGACAAGGCCAAGGAGGTGTTCAGGCTGGCAAAGGATCCGGCTGTGGACCTCTGGGGATGATCGCCGAGAGTGGGATCTTGAGACAGCCAAGGCGATGGTGCACAGGATGAAAACTCAAGTGTGGCTTCTTGCACGCCATTGTTTGACATAAAGGCTGGAGAAATCAGCGATGCACAGGACGTCTTCAACAGGATGATGGGTTTACCTCGATCAGGCAATATTCTCTGAGGCAAAGGGCATCTTCAAGCTCATGCCCAACACAGTCGCATGGAACACGATCATCCCTGCTCATGGAGAGATGAGGAGGTGAGAATTATGTTCGAAGGGATAGGAGTGCAGCGTGACGACTTTGGAAATATCATAATCACGTGAAAGCTGATGGGACTCTTGATAAGCTTGTCACTAAGGTATTTGCAATTTGCATAATTTTGTTTTGTAGATAATCCTCTTTATTGCGGAAGTTTGACGAGCTCTCTTATCGAAGGTCTTTTCCTCGGCAAGAATGTAGTAGTAGTGTAAACCTATTGCCGTCCGAGAAGACGTCCTCGGCGGTTTGGAGGTGCCCGGCCCGGGCGTAAGCGGAGATGATGATCTCGAGAGAGCAGCCAGCCACCCCATTGATTCGTCACTGTGCCAAATCGAAGGACTTGGCAAAAGGTCGCTGGATACACAGTCAGATCATTTCAGATGGCATGCAAAGTCTTTGGAGGGTTCCTTGTCACACGGTCTAAGCAAGAACATTGACTTGTTTGCGGTGAATGAGGAGCCTCATTTATTACGACAATGAACTGCTCGTGTGCTGACACCCAGATGAGGCCGAATTATTTGCTGCTTCCTGCGAACGTCTTAAATGTGCAGAACAATCACCATGACGAAGAGGTATGACAATCAGCGGTTTGCTTTTTTCCTTGTGCTTGTACTCAACAGGTTTCCTTCCCTTCTTGTTACGCTGGGCGTGTTTCTACTACGAGAAAAGGTCTAACATCTCATTTATGCTTTGGCAATGGATACGTTTAACTGAATCCACTGTGCTCCAGTTCCTAAATCTAACTGCAAAGCTGTAATTATCGTGGGAAAAGAAAACTCGCAAGTTATTTTCAACTTCAAGAGTTGCCTGAGATCAAGCACCTGAGACTGTGGAATGTTCTTATCACCATCTGTGTTTTGCCTGTATTTCCCTGGAGTTGATACTTAGGCTCTTCACGAGGTAACGGCTTTCGATGTTGGCTACCTTGTCCATGGCCATGAATCTCTGTTGTTGCTAGACGACCACTCTTCCAGACTCAAGATGCGACCCACCAGGAAGTAAAGAAAGCAGAGCCTGAAAAGACACTCACATACCACACTGCCCTTTCTCTGCATGGTTCATGTGTCTTCGTCTGCCCGAAACTCCAATTGGCTGAGTAAACAAACACATAAGGTCGGTCGTCATTGCAGTGAAGGCGAAGAGCTTCTCTTTACGTTCCAGCGGCTTTTTAAGCTGGAGCAGGCCCGAGGTCCAGAGCTACTCTTCCTCTCTCGTTCATTGGCTTGCACAGTTTTCATGGAGAGTGTTCTGTTTCTTTCCTTTCTTCTCCTTTTTTTTCTCCCAGTTCAGTAAGCACGCGACGCAGCAGCTCCTACAGCTTACCGGGGAGATCGAGACCTCGTGCTGAGTTTTTGTTTTACAGGTAGCTCTGGAGAATTCGCAAGCTTCTCCCAAAAAAAGGCTGTCCAAGTTTCTAACATCCAATACGCCTCTGAAGCATCCGTTCTTTACTCGAAGCGAGGTTCCCACTCGCCAGCTCCTTGTATGTATACTTTTGAGGCAAGCCTTGCAGTGCCTGTCAAGCCTGTGCTTCCAGATCATCAGCACGACCAAGCCAACCGAATGCTCTGCGACCACCCTGACGAGAGTGGAGAGACATGCCCTTGTCCAGACACGGGGGGTTCAGCGGCGTTGTCAGGTTGATGTTGCTGCTGCTTTGCTGCTCGTGTGAGGCTAAACTCCCGTAGGCCACCCGCGGACATGACTTGCAGTCAATCTCGTCGATAAGCCTGTCCATTTCCTGTACGGATTTATCGGCACTTGAAATAAGGCATTGCTCTTCCTTCGTTGATATCTTGAGCCTTCGGCTATTGTATCCAGGCCTTGATCCTAGACAATAGAAAAGACGAAAAGAAAAAGTGTAAGTCACCTTTACCTGTCTAGCTGAGAAGTAAAAGCTGAGACCACAGCTATGCTCACAATCGCGATAAGAAGAAGCTGACAAAAAATACCTGGGGGAAAAGCAATGCTAATGAGTTCCTTGTCACCATTGACAAGCTGGGATAGCTGAAACCTGGAGTGTCAGCGAGCATAATGGCAGATGCAAGAGAAATGTGCCGCATCGTGTGTCGACCGCGAATGACTTCATTGTCGACTTCGTCTAGTGCCTGTACACGCGACAAGTTAGTTTCAGACGAACTTCGAAGGTATACAGACCTGGATGTCATCTGGTGGAAGGCAAGATTTTCCACGTAGAAAGTTGATCAAGCTCGATTTTCGGACTCCACTTGGGCCAAAAACAGCTGATGTTTTATCTTCATGAAGCCCCATACCAGTCTCTACACTGCATATGTATAGTTTATATCCCGACTCCATCAGCTGCTTCTCCCAGCTATCTTTCATCTGAAAACTAAAGATGATCCTTCTATCAGCTTTGCAAAAGAAATAAAACGGGTACCTCCTGAGTAACAAGATCCGCCTTACTGAGCACCACTGCTAGAGGTATTCCAGTAGACTCGCCTTCGACTAAGAACCTATTCATTATCACAGGATCCAAGCGCGGCCTATCCAGCACCAGTAGCAAATCAACATTAGCCACTGGTATTTTGGAGAAGTGCTCTCACCACGTAAAGAAGCTTAATCCCTGCTCTAAAGCCCTCTTCTTGCAAGCTCATCGAGCGCTCCAGCTCGTTCACCACGACAGTCATGAAATTCGCCTGCGCCGACCTGACCTGACCGACTGCTCGATCCTCGGCTAAAAGATTGTCGAATCGCCTCACATCCGCTACATCACGCACCTGTTGATTCCACTGGCGAGAGACTTGCTTGGAATCGCCCCGCCGCTGCGCACCGGCATGCAACCTAGACCTCTACCCTTTTCTTTTTGGCGCCAAAATCGGGTTTAAATCAGATTTTTAGGGTTCTTGGGAGGGAAAAATGCACTACGTACATAATCTCGCAAGGAAGGTGTCTGCGGTACTTGACGCTCCACGCTTCTCGAAACGTATGAGATGGAAAGAAGACCATTTGAGTGAAAAAACAAATTTATTGTTTCTCACTCTTTATTTTCTATCTCCAGATCGCGTTGAGAAATTTTAAATTCCAGCGGCTATGGGACGATCCATGATATGCTAGGTACCTTGTCTCAAATTCCTTGACCAACTTTGTTTTTCTTTGATTTTTTTTTTCCATCACTAGGATCGCTGCTTCTTTCCAGATACACTAAAGTAGCACTTGTTCCGGGGGGATAACGTCGAGGAGGCCTCCCCAGAGAGGCAACGGATTATGTTCCTTTGAGCGTTCCAGGAGTCAGCTTGCCGCATATGAAGATCAAAGCTTTGCATGGCAGCGTAAGTTCTTTCGGACAATGCTTACACTCACACTGATGCTGGTTTTCCAGGAGGATGTCTCTTCGACTCTGGACTTGATCCATTCCAGCCGGTTCGAGTTCCTGTTCTTGGTCGAGTGCTCGGCTAGCAGACTAACTCCACTGAGCTCTCAAAGTCATCGCCATTCCTTTCTGGCTCAAACAAGGTTGTCCCTCGCAACAAATGCCGAATTGCCGTCACTGTTATAGTGTCATGCTGGGGCATCTTTCGGAAGAATCATCGAGAGACCAACATGCCTCCTTATTCTGGCTCTTCATCTGATTATACAACACAAAGAAACTTCGTCTTTGACGAAAGCCTTACTTCTTCGCACTAGTCTTGCATATCCAGCAAGCATTGCGATTGCATTTCGGGGTGACATGGAATCAAACATATGCTTTACGCTGGACATATACCCACTTTCGGCATAAGCCGTAATTAGGACAAGAAGTTTGGATCCGGTGCATTGTCAACGTGTGCATATGAACCAAGCACTGTATTCCATGAAGCAATATCTCGAACCGGCATGTTGTCAAAGATAAGTTTAGATGCCCATATGCCCATATGCATCACCATTGAAGACCACGAGAAAACGTTCTTGGCGTCGATGGTGTCGAACGCTCGCTTGGCATCACTAGTGCTACAGCATTTTCCATACATATGGCCGAGCAGATTTGCCAGGAAAACGTTCTCCCTTTCGATCTGGCTGTGTATCCAGGGACCCTTTGCCAAAGTCGGCACAGTGGCGAATCATAGTTGCAAAGTCTTAATGGCTGCTCTCTCTCGAGCACTCTTTAGAACAGCATTCTATAACACTCCTAAGGCCTTACTTTGATTTGAGCAAAAGATCTATTCTCTTTTGCTCTAGTCTCGCCACCTCATCTTGCATGCCCGCGGAGGAAAAGACCTTGGAGAGACAGACATAAAGCCCCGAATCCTCCGGAACCAAAGAGATCACTTCATTCGCCACCTCTCTCCCAAGCTTGGAATCTCCATGAACGCTACAAGCACTGACAAGAGCCGACCACGCAGGGAAATCCGCCTCAAATGGCATGCTAACGATCAAATCCCGAGCCTCCCGGAGCTTCCCGGCGCGACACAAGAGATCAACCATGCAATGGAAGTGCTCGCCATTGGGATCCAATCCACAGTCTTGCATTGCGAGAAACAATTCCCTCGACTTCTCGAAGAACCCACTCCGGCTACAACCCACCAGAGAGCTCGTGAAAGTCACAGTGGTCGGAGAAGCTCCACACTGGAGCATTTCCCTCAAGAGCTCCAGAGCGTCGGGCATATGCCCAAACTGGGCATATGCTCCGATCATCGCATTCCACAGGATAGGATCTACTGTGGACAAGCCATCAAACATTGCCCTTGCCCGTACGAGATCTCCACACTTGCCGTACATAGTCACCAGTGCGTTGAGCACTTTGCCGTGGAGTTTGTACCCGCTGTCCACGATAACTCCGTGCAAGAGCCTCCCCACCGCCCGATCCGCGACCGCCGTACACGCATCGACGGCCGAGACAAACGTGCTCTCGCTGGGGTTCACCCCCTCGAGATCCATTGTACGGAAGATCTCCAGGGCCTCGTGGCCGTGACCGTTGTGCGAATATGCCGCCACCATTGCGTTCCACGCCACCACGTCACGCTCCAGCATGGCGTCAAAGGCCCGCCTGGCAGCGCCCACGTCACCGCACTTGCCGTACATGTTCACCACCGAGGTGGCCACCATCAGATGGGCCGCGTAGCCGCTCTCCTCCGCGCAAGCGTGTACGGTCTTGCCCTCTTCCAGTGTGGGGCACGAATCCAGCAGATTCGCGAAAGTGGCGCTGTCCGGGGCGATTCCATTGAGATCCATTAGCCGGAAGCAATCCAGGGCTTGGCGATGGAATCCACTTCGCCCAAACGCGACCATCATTATGTTCCAGGAGATGTGATCGCGCCCGGGCATGGAATCGAAGAGCGATTTGGCATCGTTGAGGTTCTCGCCCACCAGATACGCGCAGAGCAGCGCATTCCAGGCTGCGATCTCGTCGCTCTTGCTCGCCATCTCCAGGGAGTCGAATATCCGCTTGGCATCGCCCGGGCTGCCACACCGGCCGTACGCATTGACCAGTGCCGTACACACCTTGTAGTCGCACGTACACCCAAGAGTCAACGCCGCGTCGTACAGTGCGTCTGCGAGCCGCAGCTCCCCGACCCTGCCGCACGCGTCCAGCGCAGAGATGAGCGACACGTGGTTGGGCGTGACGCCGTCGATGTCCATGGACTTAAAGAGATCGACGGTCTGGGTGTCGTGCCCGCTCTGGGCATATGCTGCGAGCATGGCGTTCCACGACACAATGTCTCGCTGCTCCATCCCATCAAACAAGGCCTTGGCACGCTGGAGATGCCCGTTCTGGGAATATGCCGTGACCATTGCGTTATACGTCACCATGGTCCTTTGTGGCGACCGGTCAAAGATCTCCTTGGCCTCCTCCAGACGCCCGTTCTGGGCATATGCCGTGATCATGATATTCCAGGAATAAACGTTCCTCCTCTCACCCAGGGAGTCGAATATTCCCCTCGCGGCATGGAGGTGGCCGCATTTCCCGTACAGCTGGGTGAGGAGATTGCAAAGGTAGGAGCTCTGTCCGTACTCTCCCTTGGAGATGAGGGTGTGGAGGTCGCGGCCCTCGGTGAGAGCTTTGAATTCGATGCATTTCCGGAGGAGAGAAGCGTAGTCGTTGTCATCTAGATGCTGGTGATCGACCTGGAGATGCTGGATGACCTCTTTCAATCGCGATCGATTTGGAATCGAGACGAAGGATTTGCCAGGCTCAGTTGAAGAATCACAAAAAGAAGAAGAAGACTTCGTAGTTGAGTAGCAAGAACTCGTAGCATCCAGAACTCTACACATTACAATAATTTAGTTTCTCCTTAAATTTATATTCTGATAATCCACAAACACACACCAAATATTTATTCATTACGAGTTGATCTCTTCAGTCTTAAGCTTGTCGGATTTGCGCATTCTATGAAAGATTAGAACGACTGCTGCCACAAAGATAACAAATTCCAGTGAGCACACCCAAAATAAGATTGACCACCTGGGCATCACTTCAATAGTGGAGGTGGTGGTGACCAAAAAGCTGATACCGTTCAACGGCTGGATGATTGTTCCAGAGGTGGCAAGACAACGCTTTAGTTCCACCTCTTTGATCATCTGAAATATGCTGAATGTGTTCCATATCATCACTCCAATGAGGATTAAGGCCCGTGCAAATGTTCTAAGCACTGAAAGTTGAAACTCTGTCCAATCAAATCTGATGAGCGACTTCTCAAAGTTCTCCGATGACTTGGCAAACATTCCCCAGATTGTGGCCCCGATCGTGAAGATCGCCACCAAGATCTCAAAGAGAACTTCAGCTCTCTTTGAAGACCCCTTCTCCCATTCCTTGAGGGCGAACCTCTTTATGTCCGCAACGTTTGCAAAGACATCCAGTTGCTGTGCTAGCATTGACATTTCTCCCGAGGACTTGAGCTTCGTCATGCTTAGCATGCACAAGTTCTGGCTCAGTGCTACTTGTCCTTGATCCGTGCCACAGTAGACGTCCTCTTGTGTGTTGCCAATGGGAACTTTATAATCAAACGTCGCTCTCATCCCCGATGCAGCAAGTGGGAATCGAAATATCATTTGACCGCTGTGAGAATAATCAACGTTTGCCATGCCTTGAAGGGAACAGTCCTGGGAGATGGTTGTAAGAGGTTTTTCAACCGGGTGTTGCTCCAGCCATCCCTGAACACACGAGCTTACGTTCTTTATGATCCCATAGTTAACGTCCTTCATCGCCTCTGAAAAGTATACAGCTGAACCAGAGCTAAATGTCACTTCAAAAGTGAATGATCCGTTTCGTTTGAGGCTGTATGTAGAGAACGTTGGAATGCCCTCAAGATTCCAAAGAGTGGAAGTCCTGCTATTACAGCTTGTAGAATTCAGCTTCAAAGGAGATATGCCTTGGTCCGAATCTGACAGCCGCGTCAAGTTGCTGTCAATGATGCAAACGTTCCCATCACAGCCACACTGATGGGTTGGAAATCCCAAATACGATATTACATCCGGAATGATGAAAATGGGCTTGAATGCTTCACATACGTTTCCTTGGTACACATACTTGTTAACGTTGTTTCCCTTGTCTTTGTCAAGCGTGAGCCCAAGTTGAGTTCTAGCGTTACTCGCAAAGTTGGTCAAGTAATCTTCCCAGGGCAAATACAGGGAGCTGCTGCTCACCGAAAACATGTCTGACGAGGCCTTTCTGTACGGAACGCCCACCATGAGGACCGGATAAGAGCCCGTACCATTTGCATGGAGCTTGTTTGTCCAAACTACAGGAGCAGTGAAGGGCACGGCTCGCCAGTCGTTCTGGGCAAAGTGATGCAGAGTCGAACACTCATCCCCCAGTTGATAGACATCTCCCAAGCCAAACCTTTGCTTACATGGTGAAGGACTCCTCCTAGAACGTGGGGATCTGGAGAGTTGAACATGCTTGTACCATTCGATCGGGCATCTTTCATTCCAGAGATTCTCCATACACTTGCCCGCTGGTAGCCAAGAGTGCCTTTCTCGTCGAGCTTAAGTGCCATTGGAAGTGAGGAGCCAATTGCCCACTTGTAGAATGGATCGTTGTTTATAGCGTAGTAACTGGCCTCCCAGCAGGTAGAACCGTGATCTTGTGCGAGATCAGGAAAGTAATAACCAGGAGATGATGATGATTTTATCATTCTAGGAACCCAAACGTTGATGCATATTAAGGAAGCAAGGACAAGTGAGACCAAAACCACAATACATTTCATCTTGATGTTTTTGAAATCCTTTGGTCTCACGCTCCTTTCTTGAGGGTGCTGCCGGACCATGTATATAGCATGGGCTCAGATTATCTAAATTGAAGATTCTGACATATTCTTGCTCTCGTGCTTCACCAGTAAGTCAAATTTTGCTTATGATATCTGAATTTTTTTTTCTGAAATATTTGCATCCATTACATTGAACCCATTCCCCCCCAAAAAAAATAAAAATAAAAATAAAAATAAAAATAAAAACTGTGATAACAAAGTAAGTGATGATTCAGTTTTGACATATTCTTCAGTTTGGAATTTTCTAAGTAAGTGTGGTTTTGACTTTCTTTATAGAAAAAAAAATTACTTCTTCCTACATATAGAAGCATCCTATGATACTTCTTCTT